TCCTGGGGGCTTGGTCCGCCACCACGGATGCTCCAAGGGGCTCCAGGCTCGTGCCCAGAGTCGCAGCGAGAAACAGTCCAGGGAGGACAGACCCGACGTGTCACCTGGAGTGGGGGGCTCTGGCTCCCCAGCACAGAGTGCCGGTTAGAAGTGGTGAGTGGCACTGAGGTCCTTCGTTAGCCTCCTTGGGACACAGCCGGTGGTAGTGGTGACTCACTGACCGGGCTTCGGTCATCGAGGCTGACACTGCTGATCCGGGACGGTGCAGAGATCTCATGGGTTGGCTCACTGCCCACCTCCCCCAAGGGGCCGTGCGACCCCACAAGCCCCCCGGCGCGTCAGGCTGTTGTGGGGGGAGGCAGGAGGCCCCACGTGACGTGGACCCAGCGGAGACAGGTTTGTGGCTGCAAGCCTCTGTCCTGTTCCCTTGTCTCCACCGTGGCTTCTCCACTGCTGACGGTACTGCCTCCTTTTGCCCTGGAAATGACCCTTTATGACCAGGAGAAAAGAACCCCCCCACCTTCTGCAGTAGCGCTGACATCCTCCCCTCACCTCCTTCTTTACGTGCTTTCATTTCCGGACGAGAGCCGATGTGTTTGCCCGAAGACAAGTTGAGCATCTACTTAGCGGAAATGGCGGACAGTGGCCCGTCACAGCGGATCAAGATAATACGGCAGGGGGGGCACGTGGGTGGCTCAGTGGGTTAAGCGTCTGCTTTTGGCTCAGGTCATGATGTCACGGGGCGGGGGGGCAGTCTGAGCAGGGAACCGGCTTCTCCTTTGCTCTCTGCCCCTCCCCCTCTTGTGCACGCGCTCTCTCTCTCTCTCTCTCTCTCAAATAAATATCTTAAAAACAGTAACACGGCACGCTTTTCCGCAAGGGACCTTGTGGACTTCTCCCAGAGCCGGCTGGTCTAATGTGCGGGAGCCGCAGCCTCCGCTCACTTCTGATTTGCAGGCGTCTCCAGTCCCAGAGAGAAGCATCAGGATTTCAGAGGGCCCAGGGCCCAGCTGGGGCCGCGATTGGCCTCAGAGTAGGGCTGCCTTTACCTTTCTGGGGGCCGGGGTCTCTCGGACAATAAGCATAAAGAAAAATCTCTTTACCGCCCGACCGGAGACGTGGAGTCTTGTCATCCTCGCCCGGTGCCGGCGCCGCCGTGCGCAGGGGCTGAGCGTGGGATTTGCAACCTCTCGTCTGGGACCTGGTCTGACCTCTGACCCTCACGCCTTTGGCGAGGCTCCCCGGGAAAACAGAATATTGCTCTCGGTTACATCTTCTGCTAAACAGACTCTACAAGCCGTTCTGCATCTACTTCACCCAATGTAGCATTACCTTTTTTCTCTTTGTTTTTAAGATCGATTTATTCGAGAGAGACAGAGGGAACTTGCGTGGGAGGGACAGAGGGAGAGGGAGAAGCAGGCTCCCCACTGGGCACAGAGCCCGACCTTGAGACCGTGACCTAAGCCGAAACCAAGGTTGGATACTTAAGTGACGGTGCCACCCAGACGCCCCATCTGGCGTTACGTAATGAACACTTTTCAGTGACACGAAATGCCCTCGAAACACACATCGATTGCTTTGGCCGTGGTGGTCCCCGCCTTCCTCAGAGCTGCCCGAAAACTCCAACCTCCCCTGAACGTCTCAGAAGGCGGAGGGGTCCTGCTGTCCCACTGCTGGAAAGACCAAACATGACACTTTCCATGAGCTCTCCGAGGCTCAGAATGCAGCCGTGGCCTCACGTGGAGAATCCTGTGGTTGTACGCCGTCGCTGCAGGGGCAGTGGTTAAAGATTAGGCCACGTTAGGTACGTCTGCGGGCTCGGTACTGTGCGTAACCACGCGTAGACTTGGCGACAGTACCGGAGGTGAGCAAAGTGCTTTCTGCCTGCTCGGTGTGACTCTGTAGGATGCTGTCCCCGACCTCCCGTGGTGGGACAGACGTCGCCCAGAGCCGGCGGGAAAGCTGGTGACAGCCCACGAGGCACGTCTGGGCAGCCCTTGAGGACCACACGGAAGCTTTCGAGAGCGTCAGAGCTGAGCCCCTTCCGTGGGAGTGGGGGCATCACAGCAACGGGACGTCAGAGAAACGGTTCGGCTGCTGCCCGTGAGGGTTACGCGTGCCTTCAGTCCTGAGGTCGCGTGGGAGAGGAGGAGGGGTTAAAACAGGCAGCCAGAGGACCCTGGGACAAGGCTGCCCGTGCTGTGTTTAGACCGTGGGCCTCCTCACTCCAACAGATGGCCACGTGCGCGTCCCTCTGTCGTGAAGTGGGGTCCGTCCCTGCCCCCCTTGGACCTGGGCTTGACCAAGTGATTTGCTGTGGCCCGTGGCACGTAGTGTGGTAGCTGCGTGGATGCCGGGGCGTGACAAGTGTCCGAGCACTGGGGCTCCGGCTCTTGTGCCTCTGGGACCACGTCGCCACCACAAGCAGGAGCCACGTTAGCCTGCCACGGTGACAGCCAACGCCGTGTAGACCAACCAGCTCCAGCCGAGCAGGGCCAGACCCGAGCGTCCTGCCCAGTCCACCTGCAAATGCATGAGAAGTAATACGCGATGTTGCTTCAGGTCGCTAAGTTTCGGGGTGGTTTTGTTACGCGGCAGGAGCTGAGACGCTCCCCGTTCCCAGCCAGGTGCTGGAAGGCAGCCAACACTGCAGGTCGGCGTTTGCCAGAGCAGATGGCCACGCTGTGTCTTCCTGCCAACCTTCCCTTTCTGCCGGCTGTCCCGGGAGTCCCTCCGGCCCTCCCAGAGAGACCCCGCCGGCCCAAGTCGGCCGCCCTCCCACCTCACGGCATCTGCCCTGTGCCTCCCTCGGATCCTGGCCTGTTTGAGGAAGACTGCCGAGAGAAAACCTCCCCAGAGGGCTGAGCCGCGACCCTGCCCTGGATGGGGGGGGCATGCGACAGCAGTGGCTGCGGGGAGAGAGGCAGGCTCCTGGGGGGGATGGCAGGAACCGAATGACGGGAGAGGCAGAGAGAGACAGGAAGGCTGACTGGGACAGTGTGTGGGGCTGAGCTGTGTCCCCCCTCACAGGGATCACGACCACTTGGACCTGTGAATGTGAACTTGTTTGGAAATAGGGTCTTTGCAGTATAATAACACAAGGACAAGGTCGCCCGGAGGTGGGCTGGGCCAGGACCCAGGGACTGGGGTCCCCTCAGAAGGAGGACGTTTGGGCACAGAGACCTGCGGGGGAGGAGACCACGTGACCACAGAGGCGGCGATGGGGGCAATGCGACCACAAGCCCAGGACGGCCAAGGGCCGCTAGTGGCCTCCAGAGTCAGGAAGCGGGGAGGAAAGACCCAGAGCGCAGCCCGGCCCACACCGCGGTTTGGGGCCTTCTCCCTCCTGAGCCGTGAAGGAATGCCCATCGCTTATGCTGGTGGCCGCCGCGGGACACTCATGCGGAAGGCGGGCGTGCTCGCAGGCGGCCGCTAGGGAAACCCAGAAGCGTCAGAGGCCAGACTTGCCAGACTCTTTGTGGACCAGGCGGCCCCTGGATGGCAGCACCGGAGGGAAGGAGCGGCCTCCTGCAGAGACGTTCTGGAGGCGGGAAGGTTGGAGGAAGCACTTTGCAGGGAGCTGACGTGAGGTCTCTGCGGATGGAAACTGGCCGTCAGCGGGGGTGGGGACTGTCACAGAGGTGCTGTCCTTACCCACGCCTCCGAGACGCCGAGCTTCCCGTTCCAGGACTTGTAGAACCTCAGCCCCGTCATGCAGACAAAGTGCGTTGGAGTGTGTGTGTGTGTGACTGTGTGTGTAGGTGCACGGACATGTGCACGTGTGTACACACGCATGTGCACGTGGTTGTGTGTGTGTGTGCAGGCGGAAGCACGGACTTCAGCCAGCACTGGGTGACGTTCCACGAGGGGCGGAGCGTGGCGAGGTGGGCCCTGGGCGCAACCCAGCGGGTGGGGGGCGCTGGTCGGAGAGGGTTTCGCTGGGGGAGCAGGTCACAAACCTCTCGAGGGGGCGGCGTGTGGCGGGAGTGCCTGGCCAGTGGGCTGCCTGCTGGGGTCGTGTCCTGTCACCGGAGCTGCCCCCGCACTGGCTTTAGCGGGATGGAAATGAGACACAAGACCGTAGGGGAGAGAGCCCAAGGCCCCGCTCATACTGCCCTGGATTCAAGAAGTGACGCAAAATGTCACAAAATGTCACAGCAGAAATGAAACTCGGGGACGGGGAGAAGTGTGCGGAGTTTGCCGAGAGGGAATGAATGTGTGAAGGACGCTAGTTACACCAGAGGAAATGCTGACAGAGCTCAGAATATGCAGGGCCTTTCCAGACTTCTCCGAGCGGAGCCTCCTCCGTCCGGGGAGGGGGCAGAGGGGACGTGCGAGGCCCGGGATGCACCGAGGCTCCGAGTGCACTCGGGGCACCGGGGAGGGCTCGGGGGTGTGCTGCCCCTCAGAGCCCGACTGCCATTCAGCAGGGGTCGAGTCTCCCTTTATGCTCACAAGTCCACCCCGAATGTCTCCAGTGCTTGTCCCCAAAACAAAGGCAGGAAGAAGGGACGGCTCTCCTCCCCTGAGACCCTCGAACGGGCTGAGCACAGTCTGCGGTTTGAGGTGGTCAGTGTCCACCTCCCTGTGTGTGGGCATCAGCCTGGTGGGGTGTTCACACCCGTGTCCCACGGCCGCCTCGGCCCCACGCCTCCCCGCACACGGCCGCCAGCGCCCCTTGCTGCTCACAAACAGGACACGCTCTGGGCACCGCCTGAGGTTTAATCGTGAATTTACACGGGATGGGGCGACACGTGACACGGGAGCGCTGGTCTGGGATACACGTGTGGGGGAAGCACAGTTCCTCATCTCCGCGTGGGGCTGGGGGCTCGGGGGGCTCCGGGGACTGCCGGAAGCAGCCCCAGGATGCAGAGCGCTACCAAAAAAAGTACAATACCCGTTTCCGTATAAGAATATATTATTTAAAAGACAGTTTAAAAATAAAAATTCTGTACAGCATCATGAATTTCCTTTTTTTTTTTTTTTTGTATCAGTGAACAAAACAGTTCTTAGAAAACACGGTCTTGTGGGGTCAGGCCCTCAGAGTCCGCTGCCCCTGCTCTGTCGGCTCCCACGAGGCTCGGCCGGCCTGGTCCAGAACTGCCACCCGTGACTGAAATGCCTTCTTCAGGCTCCGCCTGCTTGGAAAAGGAAGAGCGAAAAGCTTCTGTTGGGACTGAAAACGGGCGGGAGCTCTCAGACGTCACAGGCACTGTAGACAGTTCCTGCACACCGCACGCGCCGTCGAGCACATTTAGGCCAAATAAACAATTCTGATCCCTCTTCTGAACCCCTGGAAAATACGATGTGCCCGGGAGACGAAATACCAGTGTTTACGAGCACGGGAGGCGACCCTGCATTCTGCTTGTTCACTGGACAAAACCATAGTAACGAGATTATTCCCGCTGGAGGGGAGAGTCAGGCTCTGGGGCTCAGAGAGGTGGAGACACTTGTGCAGGTCAGTCTGCTTGTCCTAAGCTCAGCGGGGTCTGTCAGGGGCCCGTGCCTGTCCCTGCCCCTCCATACAAAGTCGGACCCTGCCTCCCATGCCTTGTGCCTGGCACGCTGTGTCGCCGAGACTCTCTCCAGTGACCTGTCAGACTGAAGGGGTTGGTTTGCTCTGACACGGGCCAAGTGAGCGGCCAACGTCAGGTGCACGGCCTGCGCTCACAGCCGTGTAAGCGACACCGCGTTTCTGGGAAGCTTTCACGTGCTTTCCCTTGTAGGTGGCCCGAATGTTCTGACCGATGCTGTGCTGAGAGCCAAGCGCGTCCCCTTCCTTCCGAGCTGAGGTCTATGAACTACGGGCGAGGAGTGAGAGTCTCGCTTACTTCAATGCTGTGAGCCGCTCGCGCTCTCTGCCCCCTCCTCTGTCCTCCACACCGCCCCACAGACCGTCACTGCCGCCCGCGTCCGGCTGACTTACCGGAAGCACCAAGGTATCAATTCAGGATGGCCCTCTCTGCGCTTTTCCTCCCGTCGCGGCTTCCCTCCCTGGGGGCGTCGGTGTCCCCGGACGTCAGGCCCTCCGTCTTCTGTAGGCAGGACAGAGCAGGTGGCAGTCAGCTTCCGGGAGCCCACGAGTGCCCCCTTATCTGCTGAAGAGCTTCCCGCTGACTGAAATGCTGACAAGCGTCACCGACACGGATGTTGGCAGCCGCCTGCCCACCCACGCGCCGCCCCCGCCGCGGAGGCCTCGCCGCCTTGGCCAGTCTGGAGCTCGGACTGCTAGCTCGCCCGGCCGCAGAGCCCCGTAGACTGGCAGGCAGGGGTGATGACGGAGGCCGCAGCCCTTTCTCCTTTGTGGGCTTGTCCTTTCTGGGGAGAGGAAAGCATCCTGGGGTCCGAGGGGGCCTTTATAGTGAGGGCTCGGGGGCAGGGAGAGGAACGCCAAGGTGCTTTAGCAATCCTGCCGGGGGCCTTGCCAAGAACACCTGCTCAGACATCGCTGTCTGTACTGTTTGCTTTGGAGTCTCAGGACCTCTCTGCGACCTTCTGGTAGCGGGACCTGACTATAGAAACCAGCTGCGGGTCTGGACTGCCCATGGACCAGCAGGCAGTTCCTGATGACCGTTGTACACACCGCAGTTTGGGGGACGAGAGCGACACAGGGTGCCTGGGAGGCCACCCGGTGCTCAGCGGGGCACAGGGGCTCCCAGCAGCAAGGCCGGGGGCACCATAACTGGGAGCCCTGACAGAAGGGAGCGGCAGAGACCAAATGTGGTGGGGTGTGGGGCGCGGCCGAGGCCGGACCAGGACAAGTGTGGGGCAGCAGGGACACTGCTCAGGCTGCATCAGGGCCCCCGGGGAGAGGGGCAGCGGCGGACCCACATAGGCACACCGCGGGTGGTTGGACATCCAGTGGGGGGGTCCCCGTGGGTCTCAGGAAGCAGGGGTCCTCGAGGAGAGACGGGCACACACCGAGGCCCAGGCTGTGCAGCCGCCTGTGCACCGGCTCTGAGCATGTGAGCTGACCTTCCCGACACAGCACCGGACCTCATAGCACCCTGACCCTGAACGGCCGAGCCACCGTGTGTGAGCTCCGGGATGTGGATGGTGGCTTCTGTCCTGTGGGGAGAGACTCGCCCCGCTGTCCTGTCCCTGAGCAAGGTCAGCCTGGGGCAGGGGGAGGACAGGGACACACACGGGGCCGGGGCACTGCTCTGAGGGAGCCCGAGACGCGGAGAGATCCTGGCCCTTCCAGTTACAGCACGATGACCGGGGCGGCGTGACCCCTCCAAGGGCCGCAGGGTGTCAGGGGAGTTCGGTCTCATGGAGGGTATAGATTTCTTGGTTTTCTGGGGTCCGGGTTTTGGGGGAATGGAAATGAGCTCCGGTCCAGGGGGCCCCCCACCGCGGCGCCCGGGGCGTGGAGAGGAGCTCTCCTCCCGCCACGAGGAATGCCACCCTTCTCACGTGGCACGTGTTACCTCCTTGGCCGCGTCGTCCAGCTGCTTCAGCTCCTCGTAGCGATCTCTGGATTCCCACAGAGGCTGAAGCATGAGTTCCTCCGCCACAGGGAAGAGCTGGGGGAGACACACGGGGTCACAGTCTGTCACTCTTAGGGCGGCAGAAAGCGTCTGGGACACCGGGGGTTGGGACCACACGGTGGCTGCCACCTGCCGTGGGGTCTCCGGTGACCGTGGTTCTGAGTCTGTCTGGTCCGTGGCTCCTGGAGACCCGCAGGCCTCCCCCTTGCCCACCCACCTCTGGGGCCCACTCTGTTTCTGTTCTCTCACTTCCACGGACCTGCCCACGGCCCGCCTGTCCCCGAATGTCCGTTGTCCAGATGCCAGCCTTGCCGCTAGTCTCCTGACAGCCTGTGGCTGGAGGAACCAGACCCTTCCCGTGGCGTGGCCTCAACCGCCCTGCTGTCCCTGCCCCGTGGAACCCTGCGCACGCAGCTTTCAGCCCTGGAATGGCTTCCGTGGGTCCCTGGTCACATCCCAGTCCTGCTGCAGGGGGGAGGGCAGTGCCCATGTGGCAGTCCTGCGCCCCTGCACCCGCTGGCCGTGATAAAGGCCTGGAAGTCCCAGGAAGGAGTGTATGGGGAGGCAGGTCCCCAGAGAAGTAGCAGGGAATGGGGTTTACGGGAGGACGCACCGAGGTGGTTCTGGAAGGCTGGCAGGGGCCACGGGGCCGAGGCTGCCGAATGGGCGCCCTCCGAGGTGGAGGTGTGAAGAAAGGGGAGGACCGTCCTGCAAGAGGCATGCAGGGACGGCGGGGACTGTGTGCAATGAGCGGGCAGCTCTCCCTGTGTCGGGGGCATGGGGAGCCCCGGGAAGGTTCAGGGGAGAGGCAGAGATGGTCTCCTTGCTGAAATCCACCTGGGGACAGCCGTGTGCCGGGCAGAGTGGGGCCGGATAGGAGGGTCTTCTGAAGCAAAGGGGCCCTGGGAGTGGAGGGCCTGGTGGTGGCTCCGGGGGGCACGAGCTGGGGAGGCCAGAGGGTGCGGGCTCCAGGGATGCTGGCGGAGGGGCCTTGGGTCCCACCTTAGATCGCACACGGGCGTGTGTGGGAATGTGTGTGCGCACGTGTGTATCTCTCAATGCGGCGTCCTCAGCACGTGGTGACAGTCACTCACCTTGGTCACCATTTCGAACATGGGGATCAGGACAAACTTGATGAACCCAATTTGGGCCGTGGCTTTGGTCACTTTGTCCCGGTCCATGAAAGGGGCCACGGGAAGGCCCTCGGACTTCTCGCGGTCGCTCTGTGGGGTGCAGGGGACCGGCCGCAGCGTTAGAGAGAAACACTGTGGACTCTGGGGACCCAGGGCTCGGGGCGCGTTCCCAGGCCTCACCCGACCAGACTGCTCTGCCGAGGGGCCAAACTAGCGACAGGGAGGGAGGCGGGATCTGCTGCGGCCACTGGACCGTTCAGAGGGCGTGTGGGGTGGTCGTGGGGACGGGGCACGGGGACGGGCCCGTGCAGCGTGATACCCAGCTGCTGCGTGGCAGAGGCGGCCTGCAGGCCCCCCGGCCTCCTTCTGGGGTCTGCCTCGCTGGCTGGCTGGCACGGCCCATGTGGGCCGGCTGGGTCCTCTGAGGGCCTCCCTAGGGCTGGCAGTGACCGCCGACTGCTTGGTGTTGCCCACCCCGGGGCCCTCCTGCCTCTGCCGCTTCTCTTTCGGGCCACTCGCCGGACTTGTCCGCCCCACGAGCCGCTCAGTCGCTGGTCACGGGTGGCGGGTTCCAGAGCCCGCTGTCCCAGGCTGCCCCCGTCTTTCCCGTGTCAGGGTGTACCCGGTCATCTTGGGTGTGCACCTGCTGCGAGGGCTTCCTGGAGGCTGGGGAAACCATCCGGGACCTGCTCCGCTCGTCCCCCTGGGTACCCTCCGTCGCTCTTCTAACTCGGAGCCTGGAAAGGGCCAAGCCGAGCGGCGGGGTGTCTGGAGGGTGGGGGTCGCTCTTACCTGCATGAAGTACTCCTCCAGCAAGCAGTCCACCCAGGGCTCCGCGACTTCCATCGGACGGACCTCGTTGGAGATGTCGCAGCATTTGATCAAAATCATCTTCAGCTGGAGGAGAGATCCGGGATCAGGTGTGCGTCATGGAGCGGGTCTCGCGGCTGCTGTCCGGGTCTGGACTTGCCGCCCCCGGGAGAAGGCGGTGTGGGCTTCCGCCCTCTGCTCCCGGGCCCTTGTCTCCCCTGGGGACCCGCACTCTCTGCCCGGCGCCCCTGCCCTTTCTGCTGGAGCCACCACTCCGGAGAAGCCTTCCCTCCCCCCAGCCTCTCCCCTTCCTGGTCCTGCTCCTTCCAGCCTTCCTGGCCGCCGCCCGCGCCAGATGGTGTCCCCCAGCTCGGCCGCCGGCTGCCACTTCCTCCCCAGGGGGTGACTTTCATCCCAGGAGACTGGCCCTCTGGGCCTGCTGAGGTTTGGGCCTGATGTGGGCCCTTTAGAATGACCGGTCGCGTCCAGAGCGTGTCCACTAAGCCCGAAGGTGAGTGTTTTCAGGACCGGCCGGAAGGCTAGATCCGTGCGGCCTGGCCTTACTCTAGCATGCGACGGTCCCCAGGGGTCACCGACGTCCCGGGACAGAGCGTGGGCCCCGATCGGGGTCTGAAGGTGACCCAGCAGGAAGTCCCCCCGGACACACCAGCGAGGGCTTGTGGGCCCTGCGTGGGCCTGAGCTCTTTGCACCTGGTCTTCTGGGAGGCCGCTGGGAAGCCTGACCCTGCAGCGCACCTCTCGGCTCAGCTCAGCATCTGGCCCGGCCCCTCGCTGAACCCCAGGGTGACCAGTGGCCCTTTTCCCTGTCCCTGATCACCCCCTTCCTTATCGAGCCCGGGAGTCGATCCCAGGCTCTGAGAGGTGGCTCCAGAGCTCAGGCCGTGACAGGGCCCTGCTCGGCAGGCCTCAGGGAAGCTCGCCTGGGGCCGGGGGCACCGCCCGGGCGCTGCGTCCTGGAGGGAGCCGTGCTGGGACCTCAGGCCCCGGCCACATGGGGCACAGCACCCAGGCCTGCTGCTGGAGGTGTCGGCGGAGGCCCTAAATCCATTCTGACCCTTTCCACTCTGGGGCCTTCCCCTCTTCCGCTGCCAGCCCCCCAGTCCACCAAGTAGTGGGTGCTTGGGGGGCTCCCTGGCCAACGCACGAGCCCCTGGTCTGCCCACGGGCCCTCACTCTGTGAGGGGGCAGAGAGCACTCTGCTCCCCCTTGTGTGAACAGCCAGGAGGCAGTAAAGGAGTGATGGTCGCTCCGTGTGGCTCATCGTCCGGAAGACTCGACCTCTGGCCTCCCGCCTGCGAGGGCCTTTCCTCACGTGTCACAGGGAACACGGAAGCCCCGAAGGGGCACGGCCTACTCGTCTTTCCTCCTCGCCCTGCCGTGGGGGACAGCACCTCCCACACGCCGCTGGCTTTTCAGGAGCAAGGCTGTCCCTCCAACATGACTGTGTCTCCCCATGTCCAGCTCCATGAAGGGAAGCCTGGGGAGGCCCTGGCTCTCGGGGCCACTTTCTCCTGCTGTTACTTATGGAAGATGTGAGGTCCCTGCCCCGCACATTCTCTGTGTTGCTAGAATTCCGGTTTGGGGACGGGGTGGTCAGGGCAGCCCGATCTCAGAGGGCTGTCCTGTCCGTCAGCTTCTAGGGATGGAAGGGGACCACCAGTGATGCCAGAAAGCCTCACACCCAGACTAGGCTCAGCGTCACCCCTTCCCTGAAGGCTGGGAAGGGCGTTTGTGTGTTTTTCTCTTAAAAGGGCAGGCGCGGCGCAGACGCAGGTGGGCTGTCCTCACGGGAGAGCTCCCCTTCTCTGGACGCCTGGCCCCGCTCGGGGAGGGGTGAGCCGGGAAGGGGCCCTGGGGATCCCTGACCCGCCCGCCCAGAAGCTGGCGTGCAGAGGGCCTTCTGGGGCTGTGCCTTCGTGGGGGGGGCGGGCTTTGTTCTCAGCAAACCAGAGCAAGGAGGGCTGCCCTCACCACTCACTGCCTTCAAGCCGGAATGAGATACAGCACCAGACGCGCCGCCTCTCACCGGGACACCGGCTCGCTGGGGGCTTTCCAGGCCAGCCTGGGACCGGGCGCCCACGTCAGTCAGGCCTCGCTCCAGGGCCAAGCGAGGGTCGGGGTTCCCCGGTTCCCAGCCTGGGCCGGAGGGCGGGACTCCCCCACCAGCCCCGAATGAGCTCAAATAAGCTACTTACAAGGGTCATGTGCTCCTCGTTGCTGTAGTCAAAATTCTCCATCGTTTCTTTGAAAGAATCCATAATTTCTGCGTGTCTTGCCATGTCAGTGGCTAAAATTAATGTGATCATCCCCTGAAAAGCGAAAGCAGAATGTTAATCCCGGGGACCGGCCCAGCGTCTGTCCGCAAGTGCCGGCTGCGGGCTGAGCCCCTGCGCCGGGGGGTCCCGGCTGGTCCCCGTGCCCACTTGACGTGTGTCTCCGAGAATCAGCGTCCTCATTTTCAGGATGAGGAAGCGGAGCCTGGAGGAGGCTGGGAGCCTCCCAGGCCACGGCTGGCGAGGGGAGGTGGGGTTTGAAACCCAGGCGCCGTGAGTGTGCCCCGAGTGCCGGGTCCGGGAGGAGGCAGCCCGGCCGGGCCTGCTCGCTCGGAGGCGGGAGGCTCAGTACCATGCTTCCTTGTGACGGCGGCTTTCCGGCAAGGACGAAGGCCTCCCTTCAATCCCGGAATCCAGGAATATGGCTGTTCCTTTCCCACTGTGTCGTCGAGGTCAAGAATGATTTTCTGGGAGACTTTTTCCCGTTATCCAGTCTGTGCCTTCGCTGCTTGGGAGCCATCAGAGTCCGGTCATACTGGTCAGCACTGTTCCACTAACACAGTTGTGAACGACGATGCCATGATTCCTTAATTTTTTTTTTTCAAGTAGTCTCCAGGCTCAGTGTGGAGCCCAAAGCGGGCTTGAACTCACGACCCCGAGATCAAGACCTGAGTTGAGATAGGACCTCAACCGACTGAGCCACTCAGACACCTCAAGGATGTGGTGGTTCTTTAAGATATATTTTATTACCCTGTTAGCAGAAGTAACAGGATTTGAAGCCGTGACTCTCTGTGCACCCTGAAAATGCACACATTTCACAGAACAGAGGACACACCTCTGTGCTGTACGGGGGGCTGTACTTTCCCCAGAAAACAGCTGCAGCGTCCGGTGTGGAACTGAAATCAGGGGTGCCTGGGGCTCTGCCGGCGAAGCATCTGCCTTTGGGTCAAGTCATGATCTCAGGGTCATGATATCGGGGCCCCACGCTTGGCACAGCGTCTGCCCATCCCTCTCCCTCTGCTCGTCCCCGGGCTCGGGGTTTCTATCTCTAAATAAATAGATAAAGTCTTTAAATGAAGTTGGGACAACTGATTTTATGCTCAGAAAATCTCATTTTCCTGTTAGTCCCGTGTTGGAGGCAGGTCAAGCCTCCTGTGTCCCTCTGGCAGGCGGTGCAAGGAGTCGGGTCCTGCTCTGACAGTCCCCTGGGGGCGGGTTGCGCATGAGGGGGACCCGGCTGCTGGGTGTCTCCAGGCCGGTCCCTGCAGGAGATCCTCCCTGGGCTGCCGTGTCAGGGCCGTGACCTGCCCCTTCTCGCACTTTGGAGAAGGACGCACCTCGGCTCATCCTGACTCTTGTGGCCCCCGGGCGGGAGACCCCAGAGCGGGGGGAGAGAGGCAGGAAAGGCCCCAGATGAAGGGGACACAGCTGTGCTGGGAATTGGTGACTCAACGATGACCGACCTTCGGCACTGCCCTGTGCACTGAGCTCCCGGAAGCAGGGCCGACGGGTGACCCTGGTTTACGAGGCTGCGGTTCTCGATGGAGGGAAGCCATCAGATCTCCAGGAGGGAGAGCCCGGACTCCCTGTCTTTATCAGGTGCACCTTGAAGCCAGACCCTGAGGCATCGAGCGGGTGAGGGTCTCATCCGTGGGACCGCAGAGCCTGGCTCCTCCACGTGGAGATGGCCCCCGGCACGCGTGTCCTGAGGCTGCCACATGCGCGCCACTCGCAGGATGACGGGGACCCACAGGAAGGCCCCCCTCACAGTCCGGAGGCCAGAAGTCTCAAAGCTCCGGGAAGTGTCCTTCCTGACTTTTCCTGCTCCCACCTGCCCCAGGCGCTCCCTGACTCGGGTCCACGTCTCTGCCACTGGGTTACGCGGCATTCCTCTCCACGCACATCCGCCCTTCTGTCTCTTCTGAGGACACTTGTCATCGGATTTAGGGACGACCTGGATAACCCAAGCTAATCCCCTCCAGAGATCTAACTCAGCTACCAGCAAGGACTCTTCTCGGGCCCAGTCACATTCACGGGGTCCGGGGCAATGTCTTTGGCGGAAGGGGGCCACGGTTCAACCCACGCACTCCTCTAAGGGGTCCTTCTGGTCTCTTCCCTCCCCCGGAAACATCAGAGGCAGCAGCACCCAGAGCTGTGTTCAGCGGGGAAGGGGGCATCACTTCCCAGGGAGTGGGAATGTGGCTCAGGACCGGAGGGTGGCGTCCCCTCCCCCAGCACTTGTCTGAACCTGCGGTGGGGCTGACTGGGTCGAGGGGGCGTTCGGGAAGCAGCCAGTTTCTGGTAGGTTGGGTGCAGCAGGTGGGTCTGTCCAGGGCTGCACGAACTCATGGTGGCCCTCCGGTGACTGACCAGCCTCTGGAACCCTCACTCTCCCGGGCTGCGGGCTGGAGAAAGGACGGATCTCACGGGATTCGGTGAGATGCAGGTCCTCGGGGTCCCGTGTATACGTGCGGAGGGCTCGCCTCTCCTGGGGGTGCCGCTGGCCTTGTTGGGGAGGGGTGGGGCCGGGAGAGCAGCCCTCTGCCGCTGGAGTGAGGGGTCCTGCCCTGGGGCTGTGCTCATCGTCTCCCCCCCGACCCCGTGCCATCAGGGGGCCCTTGGCCCCACACACCTGTCGGATCTGCTTGAACCCGTCGGGCGGCACGTTGGCAAAGATGTTGCACTCGGGCCGGGCGAGGATTTGAAAGGCCACGGCGCAGTGGTGGTTCTCCAGGGGCGAGATGTCGTTGTAGCGGACGGCCAGCTCCGTGCGGGCGTTGATCTGGTACCTGCCATCGGAGGAGAGAACACACGGAGCCTTGGGCACCCGTGGGGACGCGCTCCCCCGGGCTCTCCTGACTCCTGCCGCCCTTTTCCCCAGATGCCCTCAAGGTCTAACAGCCCTGCCAGCTGGACCCCCAGCAGCACTTCCTGGCTCCAGGGACGGAGCCCCAAAGGCGCTCAGCCCTTCCTTCTGGGCCCTCGCCACATCGTCACTCTGCGCAAAGGGCAGGTGTTTGGCGGGGGAGGGGCACCAGGGCGTGTCTTCCCCTTTGAGCTGCGGCTACGACCCTGGGCTGGACTGGGCTTCGCACATGGTCTCCCGTGTGAAGGGAGGGAGTGGACGTGCACGGAGCCCCCTCGTTGGAGGGGCATGGGTGCCTGCACCGTGGGGGTCTGCCGTCAGACGGGACGGTGAGCTCTCGGCCACACACCTGCTCGAACAGCTGCGTCACCGGGCCACACGGCCTGGCATGTGGTATCCCCCAGAATGGGGCTGGATCGCTGTTCTGTGGAGCCTCGCCTGTCTGCCTGGGACCCCTCCCACCCACTTCCCCTCTGCACTCCCTCTCTGCCTCCGTCCTGCTACAGACAGGCTGGGGGGGGGGTCCGGAGAACGAGGCCGTCAGGGGCAGGCATCATGCCTGCGTCGGGGGGAGGGGAGGTCTGGCACCGCAGGGCCCTGGTCTGCCTGGGCAGATCGCAGGCCGCTGTGGGCCCCAGAGCAGCGTGGCAGCCCCTGGGGGCTTGGGAAGCTGGAGTGTCTGTCCCGGGAGGCTGAGACTCTGGACCCAGCCAACCGCAGAGTGGGAGCTGTGTCCTACGGGGCGGGGTGGGGGCTAGCTGGGGGCTGCTGAGCCTTCGGCCCACAGCTCCAACCTGCCTCCGGCCTGCGTTGTAAGTTGGAAAGGCCACTCTGATAACCAGAGAGCCCTTTAAAGGGGAAAAAAGAAAGATCGTGTACATACGTGTTGTTGTACCCCGGGTGGTCCAAATCGTGGCAGATGGAGGCCGTCATTAGAATCAAGATGTCCATTTGGGAAAACTTCTCCTGCAGAGAGAGAGTGGGAGCGGTTGAGGAGGAGGAAGGCCCAGGGGCGGGGTGGGGGGGGACCTGCCCCTCTTGCAGAGCGGCGGCCCCATGAGGGCGCCGACCAGGGCGGGCGCAGGTGGGGGCCGCGTCCCGAGCGAGGTGCCCGCCCCCCGAAAGGGACCCACCTGGAGCCCGCAGAGCCAGACCATGCTGTACATCATCTGGGCCACGCAGAAGCAGTGCCGGAAGTTGTGGAAGGGGTTGTTCCTGTAGTTGTCCTGCACGCAGAGCTGCGGGAGACGGAGGCCCCGATGCCCATGGCCACGGCCTGCAGCCCCAGCTGCCCCAGGCGGATACCCCCCTCCATGGGCCGGCTGGTGGCTGGTGATTCGGGGCGCTCTCCCAGAGCCCAGCAGCACTCCCGGGCTTGCTGGAGGTAGGGGCGAGGAGGCCCGGGGGAGCCACCCTGCAGCCAAGGGCAGGGGCGACGAGTGGACATGAGGAGCCACGTGGGGACGGGATGCTGTGGGCACGGCTGGGGGGCTGTCGGAGCGGCTCTGGGTCCCGGCCCTCCTCACACCTGTTCCCATTTTAGTATTTAACATCTAAGCTGTCCATGCTTGGTTCCAAGCAGCACTTTATTTAAAGTAATTTGTGGCCAAACACACACACTCCCACACGCCCCCACCCGCACGCACACGGTCCTGCACTCACTGAACACACGCTGACATCCACGCACGCGCGCACATCCCACGACCGTCACACACACGCTCGCTTCGCCGGTCCCTCCCAGGTCCCCTCCCAGTTCCCCCTATTTTCTCGTGCTCCAGAGCAGCAGCTGAGGGGCCCTGTGTGCTCTGGTAGGAGACGGACAGACACAGGCTGCACGTCCTCACGGACCGCTCGTGGGCACGTCCCTCCGTGTGTGGGAGGCCCAGCGCCACGTGGAAGGTGCGTGGGTGCTCCGCTGCTGGGCAACCAGATGACACTGTCCTCGAGGGGCACCGGGGGGCCCGCACTTACCAGCCACCTCCGGAGCGTGATGGGGTTGATGGAGAAGTCTCTGACCAGGCCCAGGTCATGGTACATGTGCTCCAAGCAGCTCAGCATCTGCGGACGCAGCGGCAGAAGTGGGTCGGTGGCAGGGGCGGGCCCACGCAGCCGCCCAACCCAGCTGATGCCTGCAGGGCCCGGCGGTCCCTAGAGGGTGAGGCTCCCGTCTCAGCGGCCCCGAGGGTGAAGCCGTGTTGACTGGGGGAGGGGGTCTTGGGACCCCTAGCAGGGACGTGGGGCCTGAAAGAGCAGCTGGGCTGAGAAGTCAACGGGGTTGCAGGCGAGGAGGGACAGCGGTTAGGAGGGACCGCGTCAGAAGTGACTCTGAACTTGGCCACACGGGAAGCCAGGCTGAGGTGCTGGGACACGGCTCCATGGGACACGCGCCCGCGAGCAGGTGTCTTGACGCCCAGTATTGGTGAGACTCAATGGCCTCCGTCCCCAGCATGCTTGGTGCGCCCCGAGGGGCCTGTGGGGACCAGACACACACTGTAAGGCGCCGCTCGTGTGGTCTGCGAGGTAAGCCATGTTCCCGTCACGGAGCCGCCGTCTACAGAATTCTTGCTCAGGTTAAAATACATTTGTCTTCAGTCCCAAAGAGGAGTGATTGTCGTCGCTGCGATCTATTTAAACGCCGCTCGGGACCGCGGAGCTAATTAAGCCAGGGCAGAAGGACCAAATGATTAAAACGTGAGCGTCTGAGAGCGTGGGCTCCACTTCCTGGGAAGCCGGTTTCGGACACAGGCCCCGGAAGACCGGAGACCCGTGAGGTGGTGACTGCTAGACGCTGCCTGGTGGCACGGGGCATGACACCAGCCCACGCTCCCCGGCTCAGGCGTGTGGCCCTGCCCCCGTCCCGTCCGCCAGCTCCCTGAGGCCTGCGCGGCCACACTCCTGGGCTGCCCCTGGTCACCGTGTGACCTTCTCTTCCCAAATAGGTATGTTATGGACAGAACTGCGGCACCCAAATCAGCGTGTTTAAGCTCTAACCCCCGACACGACTGTGTGGACGGAGGGCCTTTAAACACCCGTTAAGTTTCAATGAGGTCATCGGGGTGGCCCCGGCCCATTAGGACTGGTGTCCCCATGAGGAGAGGAGACCGGAACAGACATGCACGCAGGGACGACCACGTGAGGACATGGAAGGCGGCGTCTTCACGGGGGACAGGCCTGGGGGATGCCTGACCTCGGGCTTCCAGGAGTGAGAAAACGTGCTCTTGGCCCGTTGTGCGTGTCGCGGCTGCCTGAGCTCAGGACTACAGGGCCACCAGAGACCCGTCCTCATCATACGGGCGCGTCACCAGTGACCCGTCCTCGTCACACGGGCGCGTCACCAGAGACCCGTCCTCGTCACACGGCACTGGGACAGCTGGGAGCACAGGGAGCACAGGTTCTGCGGGTCCAGCCCCATGCCTGGAGCGTCCACAAGGTGGCTGTGGAGGGAACGCCACGGAGCAGAGACCTGTGGCATTGCCAAGAGTTCAGTGGGGGGATGGGAAGTACCCCCACACACCACGTGCGGGAGCCCACGGTGTCACAGACGGATCGTCCTCAAGGGGATAGGATGGATGCAGACTGTGTCATGGGCAGGCCGCCAGGCTCTGGGGAGGAGTCCGGGGCCCTGACGTGCGGTTGGAGCGCTGGTGTCCACTGTCGTGGACGCTGGCGCTCGGGCCGTGGCCCCGCAGCGCCCTCTGCTCCCCACCTCACGTGCAGGCACAACTCCTGCAGGCCCCGTGAGCCATGGCCGTGGTGGTGAGGTCGGGAGTCCACAGCTGGAGGTGACCGGCAGACGAGACCATCTGGTCCCACCCTGGGACGCGTACAACAGTTCTTGGGCACCTGTTCACGTGGACACTGGGCAGTCCCGGCCGGGTGGCCGCGTGGAGGTGGCTTCGGGCACTCGTCAGACACTGTGGCCCTGTGGCCTGCGAGCCCCATGCTCTGGGCTGGTGGCCGTGCTAGGAAGAGCTCTGGCATGTCAGCTAGTGGGGGACAAGAACACTGGAAGCCATTTCCTCTGTTTCGTGATCCCGAGGACCCTGGCCGGGGCGGGGGCTGCTGGGCACAGCGATAGCCCCACACGGAGGAATACATGTTCCCGGACGTGAGCTGCTTTATGGGAGGCCAGAAGCAGCTCTGGGGGCCTTCACCGTCCACAGTCCCAAATCCACGGCATCCCCAGATTGGCAGAGACCGGGGCTCCTGTCTTTGGGGACCTCTGGCTCCTGGCCGTGTGCCGGCCGCCTGCCGGCAGAACATTTCTGGAAACCCCAAGACCGCTGAGCAGCCTGCCCTGGGCACTGAGGGGCCCACCCAGAGGCCGGCCCCACCTGCGGGCTTCACCCCGGCCCTGACGCCGTGGGCAGGCGGCCTTCCCCTCGTGGCTGCGTGACTCCTTCAGCCTCTCCGGCCACGGCGGGACTCCATGGGAGATGCAGACGGAGTGGGCAGCGAGGGCCTGGTTCCAGGCAGGCGTTCTGCCCTTGGGGACTGGGCTCTGCCCTCACTCCCCGCATGCGGAAGCCAGAGCGATTTCCAGCAGCCGTGTTTGTGCACCCGCCGGAACCTGGAATCTGTGGGCGCTGAGCCATCCTGGGTGTCCTCTCGCCCACGCGCAGGCCTTCCCTGCCCGGGTCCCCTGCTTGGACCTTGGTCCTAGGACTGGTCTTCAAGGATCCACCTCCCGTTTCTCCTGGTCACGCCTCCTCCCACCCTTTCCAGTCCTGCAGGCTCCCGGGTGGCTGGATGATTTGGGGCACACAAGTTTGGCCGGGCGTGTGCGGTGGGACGATCCCTGGGATGCGGGCCCGCAGTGGGGTGGAGGCCCCTCTCGGTGCAGGAACGAAAGCACGAGAGCCGGGACTTTAGTGACCCCAAGTCCTGGCCGGCGAGACGTGCCTGCGCAGGGCACAGAGCCCTCCTTGCCTGTCCCCTGCGGCGAGCTGGCTGGGGGGCGGCCACTCTGCGCGTCTGTGTTACCAGAAAGCTGGAGGAGTCCCAGATTTGGTGGACGTCATGTCCAACACGAGGGACTCGTGTTTTCGGGGATCAGGAATGGAGGAGTATGACTGATGTTATTACATCACACCGAACAGACGGAAATCTCCATGTTAGTGTTTTCTCAGCAAAAGGGGACACCGGTAGAATGGGCTTGTGTGGGAGTCCCGGGTCTCCCCCTGGGGGACACGGCAGCCCGGAGGGTGTGCGGGCTGGGGATGAACCGGCCTGCCCGCGCCTCTGCTCTGACACCCCTGCCTGAGTCCCGTGTCCTCGCCCTCCTGAGCCCACCCAGAGTCAGACTGAGGGAGCGCCTGGGGACTTGAGGCCTTCAGCAGATGGAGCTGCGGGGGGCCCCGGTGGGTCCCCGTGACGCTGGCACTGGGGCGCTCACTCACCTCGTTGGGCTCCCAGAGCCAGACGTCGAAGGTGGGTTTCCTGAGAGCTTCGATGGTCTCCGGAGAGAGCAGGTACTGGGGAGGACAGGGGGCTGGTTAGGCTCTGGGCTGGGACGAAGGCCGGTGACCTTGCGGGGGCGGGGGGATGTTTGCTCCACATCCTCCTGCCCCCGGTCACCTGTGTACGGACTCCAAGGCCACACTCTGCAAGGATTCTGCGAGGGCCAGGCTCAGACCTTCCGTCCGTGGCCAGACGCGGGGCCGTGGGGTGACAGATGTCCCCCACTCAACGCCTGCCTAAGTCTCTCCAAAGTCGCGGAGACAAACTCCGGGTGACTCCGGGTGGACGGCCTCTCCGTAAACCCGACGGGAAAAACACTAGAGTGAAGTCAAGGAAGAAGGATGAACTTGGCCTAGATTCAACTACTGGGCAGGAAGCGATTTGGAGTTTCTGCCTTTGGCGGCCATAGCTGGCCGGGCTGGGGGCTGCGGATCGGGGAGTGCCAGAGTTCGGGTCAAACCGTCACGGGGAACAGGCTGTGACCTTAGATGTAAGACCGTCATGGTGCTTGGGGATGAGATGGGGTCTTCCCCGAGGTGTTTGGTTTGCTTGGTTTTTCCTTCATTTATTACTATTACTATTACTCAGAGAGAGAACAAGCATGGGGAGGAGCAGAGGAGCGAGAATCCCAAGGAGGCTCCCTGCTGAGCTCGGAGCCCGACGTGGGGCTCGATTCCAGGACCCTGAGCTGAAGCCAAGAGCTGGCTGCCTAACCGACCCAGCCCCCCGGGAGCCTGTTTGGTTTCTTGTAAGGAGCTGCTACAGAGGACAGAGGACGGACACCTTTCATTCTGGCCGTCGGCGGCCTTGTGGGCCCCGGGGCAGGATCGGGAGAGGCCGGTCATGTGTTCCCGTGAGACAGAGGCCCCGGTGCCCATCTGAATTCCTCAGGCGATACGCCGCACGCGTTTGGAACCGGGTTGGGGGAACCCCTCACAGGGCGGCTCCGGGAGGCTCTCTGTCCCCGCAAGGACCGTGGGCGGTGGGGGGCGGTTTGCCCCATGCCGGGCCTGGGATGCCTGTCCCCATGCCAGCACGCCGACCCTGACTCTAAGCGCAAGCCCGAGGGGACAGTCTGCCAGGCCAGGGTCCCGTGCTCTCGGCTGAAGGCACGGCCGAGAGGGTGACCGACATCACAAGACCCTGCTCTGTGGTGGTTGGAAGCCCCCAGCCCCCCAACTCCCTGGTCACTGGGCCCTCCGCCAGGGCCTGGGCTCTCGCAAGGGAGAAAATTCTAGAGGCGGAAAAGCGAAACTTCTCATGGAGGCGGAGGTTAGGTGATTTTAGAAATGGAAGCTCCTGGGTGGCTCAGTGGGTTAAAGCCTCTGCCTTTGGCTCAGGTCATGGTCTCAGGGTCCTGGGATCGAGCCCCGCATCGGGCTCTCTGCTCAGCAGGGAGCCTGCTTCCTCCTCTCTCTCTGCCTGCCTCTCTGCCTGCTTGTGATCTCGTTCAAATAAATAACTAAAAACCATAAAAAAAAAAAGGAAGTTCCTTACAGTACTGTCTGAGTGTAAACACCTTCACCCAGTGGGCGAGGGGCGGACAGCGGGGAGGGGCCGTGACCTGCTGGCCTGGGGTCCCCCGCGGCTAGCACACAGCAGAGAGAAAAAGCACTGGGCCTGAGAACGGTGGGGGGTGGGGGTCCCACAGCCCGGGGCCACGGCGGGAGCTGCGTTTGCAAACATGCGGACAGACGGGGCCTGGCCAGGAAGTCAGGGTGGCCGAGGGTTGGGGGCCCGGCCGGGGGCACAGACCACTTCTCCAGAGCTAGAACTTCCTCTCACCTTGGGGTACGTGGGGACATCACGCGGAGGGCTCGGCTTCTTGTCCACAAAACTGTGCCTACAGGGACAGCTGGTCCTGCGGGGAACAGTCAGAATTAGCCGCGGACGGGGTGTCCGGTGGGGGCCGCTCTGCAGAGCGACACCAAAGAAGCCCCAGCCAAGCCCAGACCCCATGGGCCCCGTGTCCTCATTTGTTAGGGGAGCGTAAGCCGGCAAGCCCGTGATCTGTCATGGCGAACCTGCCAGGGACCCTGCCTGGACCCGGGGATGCTTCTCTCTCAGAAAACACGTCAGCTCCACTTCAGGCAAATTCCTAAAAAATCTTTTAACGAGGGAAGTAAAACACTTTTATTCTAAAAAGCTCAAACAAGGAAGTCAGCAAATTAAAAAAAATAAAAAAGCCCCCACATTACCTACTTCTTTCCTCTCAATCTCTGGAGATACCTTCTGTTAAGTTCGGGGTATCCTTCCAGAATGTTCCTTGGGCACAGATGCACAGGGACAGTGCCTTGGATTTTTAACAAAAATGGAAGTGTCCCAGACTCACTCTTGTGCTACTGTTTTTCACCTCGCTCGTGGCGAACTCTCTGCTTGTTGCCCCCAGAGCTCAGCTGCACACGGAGGCACGTGCTTCTGGGGTGCTCCCCGGGAGGGGGGTGCCTTGCTGCCAATCCGGTCCCCACCAGGGACTTTTAGGATGTTTCCAGTTTCCCCTGGAAACTACCTTTGAGAGATGAATTTGCTCTCGGGCTCCTGATTGTTTTCCTTCACTTCTTAGCATCAGGGCAGCTGCTCCCCAGTAAGGTCAGACCACATCGAGCCAGGCGTGCTCCAGGGGAAGCCAACGGTCGGTGTCAGGGGGAGAGTGTGCTGACCTTGGTGGTATCCGAGGGCTGGATGTGGCCCCCTCCCTACCCGGGGACCCTACTTTCCTGGAAGGGAACTCCCCATCCTTGGACGTTACACACTTTGTAGATCACGTCCTATCCCCTGCGAGAACTGTAAGACCTCAGAGTCAGAGCCACAACACATCCCTTCCTGCAAGCCTGTGCGCTGCGTCTACACCGGGGATGCATTTTAAGAAAAGAACCAGAAGCAAGCAAACGCTTCCGTGCATGAAGGCATTCCCGACAACGTCCCCCGTTGTTGTAAAAACGCAACAGCAAACCGGAAACCACCTCGCTGTTGCTGAGCGAGAAGCTATTTACACCCTTAGGGCCCATCCAACAAGAAGGACGGTTGTGTGTTAAGATAATGATGAGAATTATGTGATGTACGAAGGATTTTGGGGAAAGGGGAAGAAGAAATGTTGCACACAGGATAGACTGAAAGGTAATGCAAAAAAAAAAAAAATCTAGCAAGGTACGAGGTGGGTTGAGATGCACGTGCACTGTGCCCTCCGGGAAAGACGGAGGGACCGGATGTTGGTTCCACGTCGATCCCTTTAGAGCTCACAGTATCGTAAGCGAAAAAAAGATCACGAAGCGGTATTTCTTTTCAAAATCTCCATACATGACGCATGTTTGTTTCAGCTCGGCAGCCGGATTTCGGTGGGGCTCACCCCCGTCCAGCTGTATCGTCTGGAGGTTTAACTCCGGGGGCCACACCACCTGCAAACTCAGAGTAACAGCTCTGCTTCCTTTCTGATAAAGGGGCCTCCAGTCCAGTTTTCTGGGGCTCCCACTGTTCTTTCCCTCAACGCGATGCTTGCAAAACAGCACGCTTCGTGCGTGGAGGGATTTCAGCACAGCTTCAGCAAAAGAGCAATCAAGGAACCGCTAAAGGGCACGAACCAGGTGCCTTCCATCGAGGCCCATGAACGCGAAGTCACAGCCCGCAGCTTTCTGAGCAGTGACGAGCCTGGTCTGTGCGCACCCTCGCCCCGTCCTCCCTGCGCTCAGCCTCCTCTGTGCACGTGTGACATTCCTGGCAGGGTGTGAAGCTCGCACAAAGCAAGATGGTTTGCCTGCTGGAAGCCAGCTGCTTCCTTGAAAATCCCGGCGTCGGGAGCGTCTGCTGGGTGCCCGGGGACGCTCGCCAGGCCCCCCCAACCCCCCGCTCGGCCAGGCACCCCGCCTGCTCCCTCTGTGCCCCGTTGCCACGGGAACCGGCCTCCTCCAGCGAGGGAGCAGCTGGCACGGTGCCTTTTCTTTTCATTCTATTTGGGGCTGATTTTGACTTTCACTTCCTGGGCTCCCAGCCCCCCACCCCCGTGGCGCGTCCAGTGGACAAGGCCACTTGTTTGGGATGAAAGCGGAGCCCTCGGGAGCCCTCCCCGCCCAGGTCAAGCGGCCAGCTCCGCCCCGTGCGCAGCTAGGCCTGGCCCTGCCCTGAATGTGAGCAGGACACTGGACCAGGAGGAACTGCGAGACCCCCATCCGCCGCTGTCCCCAGAGCGGGAAGGCACCTGGTGCGGAGACCCCGCTGGCTGGGGCTCGTGTGCGGGCGAATGTGGGGCTGCCCTTCAGGCCCGTTCGCCATCTGTGTGGGCACAGGCCTCTGTCGGTCCTCCCAGACAGGCCGACGGCCGCCCAGCCGGTTGCTCTCGCCAGGAAGGGCTGTGCGGGGTGCCCGGCCCATCTCTCCCCCCACATCTGGGCAGAGCCCTGCATCGAGGGGCCTGGTCCCAGGGCGCGAATATGTTACACGGCGTCCCTGCGTGACCGAAAGGGAACCTTACAGACAACACACAGAAGGGGGCACGCGGCAGCCCCGTTTGCCATCGGGGTTCACTTCTCCGCAGAGCAAGGGAAGGGCCGTTTGTCGGGGGCCCAGAAGGGGCTGCCGGGCTCCCGGAGCACGGCCTGGGGTGGGGGGCTGGGCTGTGGGTTAGACCCGGGCCAAGGCCACCGGGATTCTTTTTCCCAAACGTGTCAGCCACGTTGCAGCGTTTTACCCCATTCTGTTTGTGCCTGAAGAGTCCCATCTACCCGTCTCTCACCTCCGTGGGAGGCTGTGAAAACCGTCTGCCAAGAATATCGCCTCTAGAAGCAGTCAGGGCCCGGGGAAGGCTTCTCTTTGGATCACGGCACCCGGAGCTCTAAAAATGGGCTTTCTGGGCGGCGAGGAGGAGCGCTTCAGCCCGCGGCTGGGCCCAGCACCCGCCACGCCTCGGCTCTGCCCACTGGGCCAGACGAGCGCCTGTGGGCCACGGTTTGCCTCTCGGCTCCCGTGGGGCTGCTTTCCTGTGCTCTAAAATCGGGAGTGTCCTTCCCCCGTGCTGTGCTGTGGAGTGAGTTACGTCCCCCCAACGTGAGAAAAGCCCCAGGACCTGGCACGCGACATCCTTTGGAAGATGACGTCACATGTGGCCACACTGGGGCATGGAGGGGACTGGTGTCCTTTTAGAAAGGGACATCTGGACACAGAGGCGCATGGGGGAAAGGCCACATGAAGACCAAGATGGAGGAAGCACGGACCCTCCAGGAGCCCCCGGGGCCGATGACAACCGTGGAAGCCTGGAGGGGTGCTGGAGTAGATCCTCCCTGGAGCTCCCGACGGGGCGTGGCCATATGGACACCTGGATCTCCGGCTTCCGGCCCCGGGCCTTGGTGCCACTGTGGGGACTACCCAGGCCGAGGGAGCTCTTCCCTCTGCAGCCCCAGCAGCAGGAGCAGGGCCGGCAGCTGCCCCGGGACGGCACACGCCCCCTTTCCCGGGATGGAGGAGGGTGCCCGGCCTGGGACGCAGCAGGGGACAAGGCCAGCGAGGGCGCGGGGCTCGTGACTCATGCCCGGTGGCTTTGGGCAGGTGGCAGGCCTTAGTCATTTGAGAAGGGACGAGAGGCTGTCTTCTAAAACCCTTGCATGGGGCCTCTGTGGGCTCTGCGGGTCGGCACGTCTGTGAGTGAGGAGATGCTCACAAAGGCAGGGAGGGACCTCAGGGACCCCACCCCAGCCTGGGAGACCCCCCCTTTGGGCAGCATACATGTGAGCCAGAGGGTGACCCCATGACCACAGCCGTGGAGGGCCTGAGCTGGGCCCAGCTGCCCGCCCCAGCCAACTCCAGCACTTGTATCCCGTCCCACAAGGGGCTCGGTCTCCGGCCCCCACAGAGCCTCGCACTGGGGGACGTCCGGGACGAGTTACTCACTTGCAGTTCTCTGCGAATTTTCACAAACCCTTTTGCCCACCTTCCCCAAGTTCCATGAGAGGAGACCTCCCCAAATCCGCATCAGGGGCCATGTGGGCGTGATGTAAACGTGGCGTGGTCCCTGTGAAACCACACTCCTGTGGCTTCGAGCCCACTGGAGGCCAGCCAGGCCCTCGGCGCCCACACGGGGCCGTCAGCTTCCCCTACACCTCCAGCCTTCCAAGAGCCTTTTCTGCGGCCTCCCTCCCTAAGCTGGTCACCCTCAGACTTTTAAGATCCGGGAATGATCTTCAAACCAGCAGCCGAGCTTTCGAAGACGGCCTGGTGGGCGAGCGCAGGGCTGTTTTTGGGTTCCTCGTTCCCACTAAATCCCCCCCCCCCCCCCGAGCCCGCGCTCTGCCCTCAGGGCTGCCTGGTGGGGCCCCATTGGACCCATGTGTCCTTCCTGGGTGCACAGCCGTGAACCGGGGGGGGGGATTGGGGGATCCCGCCGAGCGGCAGGTGCACGCTCCCCACGGTACATGTGCTCCATGCGCGCCCCCTCCCTCGTCATCTCCACGGTCACCCCGAGCGCTTGCTGGGACCACAGTTTTAGCAGAGGTTCCTGCTGTGCCAACACCCACTTTCAAGCGGGGAATCGGGAAGCCTGGGGTGTTTTTCCCATGAATTTTGGGTCCCCAGGGGAGAGCCCCAGGTTCTGCCCGACATGTGACCTCTATGCGGAGAGCGGTTGGAGGCCCCGTGGGATCTCTCCTGGGACCGGCTGCTCTGAGCTCTGGGCACGTCCACACAGGAGCATAGCCTCCAGGCAGCGGGACACCCTCCCCCATGTGCCAAACGCCTTTTCCTCTTATTGGGCCTTTTTTAGAAATCAATGCCAACGTCTCTCGAGCTGGATAAGTGAGTCCTAACGCTCTGATTTCCGGACGGTCATTCCCCCTTCAAGTGAAGCCGGGCTCCTCGCCTCCTCGCCTCCGCTGGCCCTAAACTCTCTTTAGCCATAAGAAGGTGCGTGGTTGACAAGCAGATCCCAGCCGGAGCCCTGCCGCCTGTGCCCTGCGCTCCTCCGGGCAGGTTCTGGCTGTGCCTCTGGCTGGGAAGAACAGCCCAGAGCCCCCTCCGGGCACACGCACGGGCCGTTCCTCCCGGGCCTGACCTTACCTGCTGCTCCTGGCCGCCAGCTCGTCCCGCATCTTTTTGATGTCACTCTTGCATTTCTCGATCTCCAGCACTTTCAGGCCTTCCACTGGGACAAAGAAGCAAAGGGGTTACCATGGAGACACACGGAGGCCCTTGCGAAGCTGCTAACTGGGTCCAGCCCCGGGAGGAAAGCTGGCTCTGGGCTCCCACCCGGGTCCCCGCTGCTGAAGGTGCTGGCAGCCCAGGGACAGGGACTCTGGCCTGGCAGGCCTGTCTTGGCCCCGGGCCAGGACGAACCGCCGCACCCCTCCCTGCGGTTTCCGCAGGGCAGAGCCCCTGCTCCCCTCCCCCGAATCCAGAGTCGGGCACCCACACCCTACTTTCTCTCTCCAGGCCTCTAAGCAGCAGCTGAAGACACAGGACAAAGAAATCTCTCCTCCCAGGAAGAAAAGGTGGGAACAAGGCCTCCTCGCATGAAAATAAGACGAGAAGCCCGGGGTGGGGGGGTGGGGGTGGGGGTGGGCGGGGGGAGAAGCCCGGGGCGGGGCTGGGGGGAGCCCCAGCCTTCCCGGAAAGGATGAGCTCATATTGTGATAAAACTTTCACATGTTAAGGGCCCGCTGGAGCAGTTAACCGGGAGAAGGTGTGGGGGGACCTCATGTGGGGGGGACTCGAACAGGCTCGGTCAAGGGGGAGCCCGGCTCACTCGCATTCTTGAAGCCCCACTCCAGAGGAGGGCTGGCGGAGTCCAGACACACTGATCCCCCAGGAAGGCAGGGAGCCCATGCCTCCCAGCGAGCACTCAGCTTCGAGACCCTCACTCTGGGGGTGCACTCATCACCCCAAAATACTGCTACTGAGCAAAACACTGGTTTCCGAGAGGCCTTCAGGTTCAAGGCAGTTTTTAGGAAACAGGAGAGGTTCGCTGTGCTGCTCCGCAATCGCACCTCAATTTTTAGGCAAAAAGAGACTTTCCCGCGATGCTCCTCTAGCCCCTTTCCCTCAAGCGTGGTCTGATCCCTGACAATACGACGTGGATGATCTCCCGGAAAGTGCCCTGCCACTGGACAGCAGAGTAGAAGCGCCGAGCAGCCTGCCTGAACCCCAAGTCCCCCAGGGCAGCTTTCTAAGAATTTCCAGGGTCAGGGCCCGAGGGGGCGGGCAGGGCTACTGAAAATATTGCTTCTTTCTGCCCAGAGTGGTGGGAATCTAGAGGATCTGATACTGGGACATGGTCCTGGTGACTTGCTTCCGTGCCGCGCCGGGGATGTTGTGCTGAAAGTCCCCCACCGGGACACGGGACCAAAGCCCAGGGCCGTCAGTGCAAAGGGTTGGAACGAGCCAGGTGGTGCTTCTGGAATAGGGTGTTCTTAGCCCTTCCTTGCATCACGGACCCCACGACGAGGTGCTGGAGACCACAGGCCCCTCGGAGGAAAGCTCACTAGCTCGCTCTCTTATTGCTTTGGCTCCCCCGGAGGGCGGGGTCCAGGCCCCGGGCCACACTGCAGGAGGCTGGCCCGCGGGGGAACCCCAGCTCCAGCTGCGTCTCCCACTCGGACGCTGACCTCAGCACACGGCGGAAGCGACGTCCACGGGAAGAAGCTCGGTCTTGCTGACACGTGGAGGGCAGACGTTTCCGGAAAGCAAGCCGATCAGGAGAAGAGTTGTGGTATGTGGTATAGACTTTGATCCTCAGAGCAAATAGACATGCGTGTAGAGTCCACACCGGGTGTCTGTGCCCTGCTGAAGTCCACGGTTGCAATCGCTATGTTTTAAACATGCGCAGGAAATTCAGAGCATCTCCAGGAAGAATGTCCTACGGTTTATCTACGGTCCTGTTAGCCCAGAGAACAAGCATTTATTATGGTAGTGGTGTGGATCTTTCCAGGCGTTTCTCTCCCACCCCCGTGCACTCGAAATAACTCTCTGTCCAGCCGGAGTTTTAAAAAGACAAAGCTGGGATGGTGTCGCGTGTTTTCTCACAGCTTCTTACCGTCATCAGTAAATGAAGGACCCGCCCGTGTTCGCGGCCGCCTCTGGCTCATGGCCTTGGGTGGGCGCGTCATGTTTGATTATTTGATATCGGTTCCTGTAGATCAGATTTCTGGGCCATCTACTGGGGCTGATGCTCAGATTAAGCCTTTTGGGCGACACGGCACAGTGTCACTAATCCGAATCCCAGAGATTCAGAATTTATGGCGATTCCGCTTATGAAGGGCCTGGTTGCCAAGGGAATGGATAGTGAGTAACGAGATGGCAAAGCGTGGCATTAATCAATGGAGAGAAAAAACATGTCAGAGGATTAAAGGCGGAACACAGCGGGGAGGGGCCAGGGAGCCTGGTTGCGGGGCAGCTGGAGCACCACACGCCCGCCACTGTGGCTCCCGTCCCTTCCAGGCCGCCTCTGGAAGATTCCACATTTGGCCCGTCCCAGCCCCCATTCCACAGGAGGGAGAGGGCCCAGCCTAGGAGGGGAGCCCACCCCTGAGAAGTCCTGCACAGACCCCGGCGACAGCTCTCTAGTGAGGCTGGGTGTCAGGTCCCTACAAGGCAGGCCCACCCATCCCCCCGTGAACTGGGGACCAGAGCGGAACCGGGAACCAGAGCCCCTGGGGCTTCTGGAGCTCCCCGATGAGGAGCACCCCCCCGGCGAGCCGGGGGTCCCCTCTAGGGGACCTCTAGGGGGTGTTCTATAAGTCCCAGGTCACCCTGAAGGAGAACCTCTGGGAATGATTCTGGAAGACGGGTGCGGCTTCGGGGAAGGGGCTCAGGGGGCAGAGGCAACAGCATAGGCCACGGAGGGGCTCTGCGCCCTCCTCTTGTCCACCGCCTCGCTGGGCTCCCCCGGGGGGCCACCGCAGCCACAACCCTTCCTGCAGCCACAGAGCCACGGAAGCTGGTTAAAGACACGGATGGCTATGGCAGTGTTTGCAACACCTCCTCCAGAGGCTTTGGCAGAGAATGTGCCTAAGCCTCATGTCCCAAGGGGCTCAGAGCGAAGCGTGGGTTTGTGTGACCTGGCATTCCCCGCTGTCCCTCGGGCCAGCTCTGCCGGTGTTTGGGGTCTGGTCCAGGCCTTGGTCCAGGCCTGGGTCCAGGGCCACGGCCACGTCCGCAAACACGGAAGGAAGAGGAGCTCCCATGGGGTTTCTGAGGATCCGGGTGTCCCGTGTCCGGGACTCGAAGAAGGAAAACGACTTAGATGAAAAGGAAGAGAAGCTTCTAAAGTGAATTAAGAGAAATTCAGATGTTTATATTTGACTCAGAGGAATTAGGTTTGAGAAGGTAAAAAAAAAAAAGGGCAGGGAATTCCACTTAAGCAAGTCAAACCGGCGTCATACGGCTTACACACGACGGGTCGCGGCCGCAGGTGTGGAAGCATGTGTGCATGTCTCTGCACGTCCGTGCGTGTGTTCACACAGTGTAAGCCCGCGTGCATACGTGTAAGCAGCCGTGCCCGTCTGCATGTTCGTGCACTGCTGTGTTCGGTGGCTTTTTGGAGCTCACGGCCCCTGGGACTCAGCCCAGGTGAGGCACGCCGCCCGCTGTGCTAGGGGGCAGGGGGTGCTTGGAGGCTGGGAAGGGGCCAGCCAGAAGGGACAGGACAGGACACGCCTGAAGCCTGACAGAGTTCAAAGAGGATGAGAGCTTGTCGGGAGTCATGGGCATGTCCTGGGGGGTGTTCCTGCTGGGAGAGGGGAGCCAGGAGGTGGGGATGCTGGGGCTGTGGGAGGACCGCCTGCTCCCGCCCGTGCCCGACCACTGCCAAGTCGCTAGCTCGGCCACCGCCCTTAGACGCCTCTCTCCTTCCTTCCCGGCTCCCTGTGCCCGCTGCTGCTGTGCGGGTCTCTGGCGCTGGGAATCAGCAGGGCTGGTGACGGCGCGCTGACGGCCACGCGGGCTGCCTGCCTGAGCCCAGCCTGTGCAGGGGTATCGCGCCCTCCAGGCAACCTATGTGCATTTGCACGATTTACACGAGGGCCTCCAGGGAGAGCGAGTTCTGGGGGATTCAGGGCCAGGCCAGGGAGGGCAGAAGGTCAGAGGTGCCACGGCCTGTTGTCCTTGGTTCACACACCGCTTAGAGGCAAAATCAAAACACTTCTCGGCCCGATCACGGTCTCCACGGCCAGAGACCGGAAGCCTCACCAGCTGAAGTCAACACAATGTTCTGTAGGAGTTTTGAAAATTCATTAATGGCCTCCTTGGTTTTCCTGTTTGCAAGTACCGGCGGGAGCTAGAGCTGGCTTCTGGGAGAGGAGCGGGGGCGGGGAGAAGCCGGCGCGGGGCCAGGGGAGGCCAAGAGGGAGGCACCTGCCCCCGCACCCGGGCCCCCCGGGTGCATCTGGGCGACTCTGCGCTTCTGTAAACATCGAATCAGCAGCAAATGCTTCTCGTGTCCCTTGGCTGACCCCCTCCCACAGCTTCTGGAGAATTCCCTACCTGACGGGGCTCAGTGGGAAGTGGAGCTCGCCTCCCACGGCAAACGCGCCCTCTAGCGGGTTGAACTGTGTCCCCCGAAAGGGAGGTGCTCAGATCCCGACCCCCAGACCTCACGAGTACGACCTTAGAGAAAGGTTCCTGCAGATATGATCGATGAAGGCTCCCCAGACGGGATTGTCCTGGCTGAGGTGGGCTCTACATCCTAAGACGGTGTCCTTCCGGGGCCTGAGACGCAGACACGGCAGGAGGGGCCTCGTGAAGACGAGGGGGTCTGGGGTGGTGGGACCACAAGCCAAGGCTTGCCGGAGCCGCCCGCAGCTGGAAGGGGCTGGAGCAGACATTCCTTCAGAGCCCCCAGAAGGACCTGGCCCCACTGCTCCCCCTGGACCTCATGGTCTGGGGCTTCTGCCTCCACAGCTGTGAGACGACACGTTTCTGTTGCTTGAAGCCTCCCCACTGGTGGTTCTCCACCGAGAGAGCTGCAGAAGCCACCGCGCTCCCCCACAGACACGGCGTGGGCCTCCCGTCCAGCTCCGTCCAGACGTCGGATCTGCGGCCAGGGTACGGGCGAGCAGCCTGAGTCTGCAGCAGGGGCCGCGGGGCCGCGGGGGGCCCGGACATGGGGCTCTGGGTGCCGGGGAGACAGACAGCGTGCGTCTGGGGCTCAGATGCGGCATCTTCACAGCGTCAGCTCTGCGTGGGTGTTTCGGGTCTGCAGCACCACTGAGCAGGCCCGCTGCCCGCTCCCAGCCACCTGGGAGCTCCCCAGCACGAAGCCCCTTTTCCACTGAAGGAGCCCCAACCGGCCTGCACGGCGGCTTCCCGACCTGCCCGCGCAGGTGCCCTGGGTCCTGTGTGGCGGGAGCCGTCCCGGGCTTATTTACTTGTCCAATCTGCTGGCCGAGCTTCAGCGGGTCACTTAATCTCTCTGTGGCTTCTCCATCATCCACGGGGAACATAAATCGGTTTTGAAGACAGAACACCAAACGGATCTCCTAAATGTCGACATACTCTGGGAAGTGGGACCAGGTAAGTCGCGCTTCGCGTTATTACGGGGAATAGGTTTTTGCATGATCCCGAATATTCTTCTCGAAAAAAGTCCAAGCAATTCACACAAAATATGAAAAGTGACCTTCGCGGAGTCCTGCGAATGTGAATCAGCCAGACACCATCTGGGGAAGTCACGGCCCGGCCGGCCTTAGGCTGGGATTTCTTCTCGTCATCCCCGAGCTTAATAAATGGGCTGTCCTTCGCCTTGACATTGACAAAGACGTGGATGGGGAATCATGAAGGGTGAGAATTCAAGCAGGGCTCCTTATTTTATGGACGGGGACACCGGGGGAGAGACGCGGAAGCTGTTCCCTCCCGGGTTCAGCTGTTCGGTCCCCGAGTCCAGACCCGAACCGACTCCCCTGTGCTGGCTGGAAGTTCCTCTGCTGGCCCCGGTGCTGACAGGGAGCCAAGAGCTAGAGATTTGACAGGCATATCCCAGAAACAGTCGTGCAGGCGAGGAGCGTATCGGCTTGCCTCGATGTAAAAAGACACGAAGATGTTCAGCAGAAGGTCCTCTCCCAAGGGGGCTGCTCCAGGCGTTTTCACGTTTTTATTCCATCGTCTTCTGCACCGAAGGAGCTTACCTCCTCCACTTGCCGCCAAGTGTACCCCTCGCCCCCTCCACTCCCCAGCTCCCCCCACTGCCCTGTGCGGTGACGTCATGGGTCACCAAGCGACTTTCACTTATCAACAGACCCTCACAGTTCTTGCTTCCGTTAGCATCAAAGGTAATTTTTGGGGGCACCTGGGTGGCTCAGTGGGTTAAAGCCTCTGCCTTCGGCTCAGGTCATGATCTCAGGGTCCTGGGATCGAGCCCTGCATCGGGCTTTCTGCTCAGCGGGGAGCCTGCTTCCCACCCCCCACCCCCCGCCTCTGCCTGCCTCTCTGCCTACTTGTGATCTCTGTCTGTCAAATAAATAAATAAAATCTTAAAAAAAAAAAGGTAATTTTTGAACATTTCACAGAGAGAAGACATTTCCGCTTACCTCCAGGCTTCACTCACCACCAGGGGTTGGGGGGAGGGGAATGATGCAGCTGATGTAAACAGAGGTTAAAAGACAAGGAGAAAGGAGGTAGAAGCGTCACTCACAGTCCACCCGCTTCTCTAGCTCGGCCAAGTGATTCGCGACTTCAGCTTTCAGTTCGTTGATTTTAAATGCTCTGGGAATGGAAAAAAAAATCATCCCTCTCAAAATCGTCAAAGTTGAAAGGGGCGTGGCAAACCTCTGCTGCCCCCTGCCCTGGGCGAGGCCTCCGGAGGTGTAGGGGGCACAGGACGCTGGGGATTGCTTTTAAGGTGCTCCGGGCCTCCGAGGGGCGGGGAGGAAAGAGACACACCCTCAAACGATCTCCAGCGCCTGTGTTCCATGACAGAAGGCTGGCGGGTGTGTTTACCTCCCCACGTCGGGGCGCTGAGCACCTGCTGTCCAGGGACTATGCATCTAGAAGGTTCTGTACCTGGAGAACTGCTCTGCCACCTGGGTCAGCACGCTCTGGATTAATTCTTCTTTCTCTACGGACCAAAAAAGAAAGACAGATGGAGAAGGGGAAAACTCTGCGGATCACCAGGGCCCAAATTGGAATGTCGTAGGCAGGCGGCGCCAACGCCATGGCGGGGAGACCTCGGGGAGACCCTCACGCCCACCGCCAGCAGCCAGAGCCGCTCCGGGGCATGGAGTTTCCCCACCCACCTTTAGAGGCCCTTTCCCACCTGGCCTGCCCCCACCAGCCCATCTCGGTGGTCTCTCGGCAGTGTGGCCGGACTCTGGTCCTCCCCTAGTCTGCACCGGCCATAAAAAGCAGGCAGGACTGGGTCTCTAAATAGGGAAGTTTTCACTTAGTGCCCTGCTCCACTTTATGGCGGGTTAATTACCAGGACAAGGTGAGTTCAAGGCATATTTCAAATGTAAAACACAGTGTTCTCATGGCAGGTCCTCTCCTCATGGAGAGAGGAAGCAGGCCGGGCTGAGCGAGTTTGTCCCTTTGTTGCCTGGCACGTAACCCTGGGCTGGGTGGTGGCTTTACAAGGTTCAGGTCCCAGGCTGAATATAACCTGCCAGTTTTCCTGTTTCCTGGCTGGGCCCCATGCCAGAGGCTTCATAGGAAGGCACAGACGCTCACAGCACTGTTCTTTCCAGCACTCCCTGCTCCTGGGAAGGAAGAGAAAGCCCTGGCTCCAGGTGGCTATTCGTTCACGCCCTAAAACACTGAGAACCTGCACGAGACCTGCTCCTGAGTCATGTAGTCTCTGCTGGCTGTATGCCTAGCCCTCTGCTAAAACCAAAACAAATGAAAACCAAACGAAATCTGCCCGAACAAACAAAAAATCTCAATTATCCAGTATGGTGATGGGGCTTAAGAGCAAAAAAACCTTCCTGCGTTCTGCTCTAATGCCTCCATTCCTAGGAAGGAACCCAGGTATGCACATAGAAGATGTTCATCTCGGGGTTATTTAACCCAGTGAAAACTGTAATAGCCCCAGTGTCTATGAGATGGACATTGAATAAATGAGGGTGCATCTGGCCTGTAGAAATATATTCTGCTATCAGAAATAATATTTTGGAAAATATTCATGTCTATTGTTAGAGTTAAAAGAAAAAAAGAGATCGTAAGACAGTAATACAGTGTGATCTCATTTTTGAAGGCATTGGGAAGATACACTCTGAAATCATGGTAGTAGTTATTTTTTGGTTGTAAGATTGTATATACACTTCTTCCTTATTTTTGTTTTTCTATATCTAATACACTTCTATAATGAATATATGTTAATTTCATAAGAAGTGTTTAAAAAAACGATCAATCTAAATTAGCCTCTTGGAACCTCTCATCCCTTCACTTGCCACATGAATGCGTGATGACCCAAGGTTCCCTCTAGCTTTAGAATTCTAAGACTGGATGAGAAGAAGAAAAATGATGTCTTGTTGTAGGTCCTGAAACCGTAAGAGTAAAATTTTCATAGAGCCCTGTGTGGAGCTGCTGGCTGACCCAAGGCCCTATCCCTCAGGGAGGCTTCCACCTATACCAGGAGAGAGAAATGGTGACTCTAATAAGAGCCAACAGTGAGAAAGTTTCACAGGCTTCCTTGGGGGAACCCAGCCAGATTTTAGATCACTTATTCTGAAATTCTTGGGGGAAGTAATGTATCACCATGACCTTTGAGAGTTAATGATCTTGAAGCCTTGACATAAATTGAGAAGCCCATCAAACAAGCAAGAGACCACTCCACTTAGGAACAGCAGAACACGTATTCCTTTCAGATGCGTAGGAAGCACAGACCAAGACACCATATTCTGGACCACAAAGAAGACCTCAACAAATTTAAAAGAAATGAAACCATGTAGAGTATGGTCTCTGACCATAAGAGAATCCAACGGGAAATCAGTAACAGAAAGATCATAGGAGAATCTTGGAAGTTAAATAATACCCCCTTAAGTAATTCATGGGTGAAAGTGGAAACTTCAAAAGAAATAAAAATGGACGCTGAACTGAGTGAAAATGAAAACAGAATACACCCAAACTTAGCCGTAGACATGGCTAATGCAGTACTGAGAGGAAGAGTTATAGCACTAAAGGCTTACAGTAGAAGAGAGGAGAAACTCATCTCAATAATCCAAGAGCCTAGAAAACGAAGAGCAAAATAAACCCACAAGAGCAAAAGCAAGGAAGTAATAAAGAACAGAAATCAAGGGAAAAGAAAATAGTAAAACAATGCAGCAAATCAATGAAGCCAAGAGCTAGTTATTTAAAAATATTAGTAAATTGGCAAATCTCTAGAAAGATTGGCAAAAATACCATAGAGAGAAGACACAAAGTTGTAGTATTAGGAATGAAGGGGGGATATGACTACAAACCCTGGAAGATAATAAAGGAACACTACATAGAACTCCACACACAGAAATATGAAATCCTAGAGGAAAAAGAGCAATTCCTAGAAAAGTGTGAACTACCAAACTCAACCAAGATGAAATAGGTAATTTGAACAGTCTTAAACTATTAGGAAAACTGAATTTCTGATTTTAAATCTCCCCCAGAAGAAATTTCCAGGTGCAAATGGTTTCACTGGAGAATTCTACTAAACATTTAAAGAAGAATTAACACATTTCTAATCAATTTCTTCCAGAAAACAGAAGAGGAGGGAATACTTTCCAATTCATTTTATGAAGCCAGTATTAACTTGATACCAAATCCAGACAAATATAACAAAGGGAAAAAGACAGACCATCATTCCTCTTGAATACAGATGCAAAAATCCCTAACACAATATTAGCGCTTTGAATTCAGCAAAATATGAAAATGATTATAAGTCAAGGTCAAGTGGGGTTAATTCCAGGGATGCAAGGCTGGTTCAATCTTTGAAAATCCATGAGTGTGATCTACTATATTAACAGCTAAAGAAAAAAACACATGATCATATCAATTCAAAAACATTTGAAAGAACTTAACATCTGTTCATTTCATAAACTCTCAGAAAAGCAGGAATAGAGGAGAACTTCTTCAAGTGGACAAAGAACGTCTACCAAAAACCTACAGCTTGGTGAAAGACTGAATCCTTCTTGCTTAACCAGTGACAAGGCAGAGATGTCTGCTCTCACTGTCCTCACTAGACATTGTGCTAGAAGTCCTAGCCAGTGCAGCAAGGCAAGAAAAGGAAAGCAGATGAGAAAGGAAGAAATAAAACTCGGTTCGCTGGTGCCACGACTGTCTACACAAAAAATTCCAACGCATTTACAAAAACTTTCCTAGAACTAAAAAATGAGTTCAGCAAGGTCACAGGATACAAGATAAATATACAAAATTGATTGTATTTACATATATTAGCAAAGTGGCCATGTGGACACTGAAATGAAAATCACAATACCACCGTACAAACACTAAAAAAAAACAAACAAACCCAAAACTTGGGTGTAAATATAACAGGACAGACACATAAGTTGTAAGCTGAAAACTACAAAACCCTGATGAAGGAGATTAAAAAAGAAAATTTGAATACATGAAGAGACATAGCACGTTCATGGTTTGGAAGACTTTACATAGTAAAGTAAATTGACATACGAAGATGACATATAAAGATGTCCGTTCTCCCCAAAGTGATCTGTGGGTTTAACATAGTTCCCATCAAAATTCCAGCAAGACTTTTGTAGAAACGGATGCAATTATTCTAACTTTTATATGGAAATGCAGAGGAACTAGAATAGCTAAAACAACTTGAAAAAGGAAGATAAATGTGGGCTGAATCAGTCTATCTGGTTTTAAGACCTATTTACAGGCACACATTGGTGATATCTTGGGTTTGGGTTCAGACCACCTCAATGAATTCAAGTATCACAAAAAACCGAGTCAAAACGAATTGTTTGGCTTCCCAGTGTGTATGAAACTTCTGTTTACACTACATGGCAGTGTATTAAGTGTGCAATTTAATACTCCAATTAAAAAAATACGTTATTGCTAAAAAATGTTAACCATCATCTGAGCTTTCAGTGAGTCTCAATCCTTTTATTGGTGGAGGGTCCTGCCTCTGTAGGGAGGGCTGCTGACTGATGAGGCTGCAGTTGCTGAAGGCTGGGGTGGTTGTGGCAATTTCTTAAAATAAGACCACAGCGGGGGCGCCTGGGTGGCTCCATCGTGAAGCGTCTGCCTTCGGCTCCGGTCATGATCCCAGGGCCCTTGGGATCAAGCCCCACGTCAGGCTTCCTGCTCAGAGGGAAGCCTACTTCTCCCTTCCCCACTTCCCCTGCTTGTGTTCCCTCTCACACTCTCTCTCTCTGTCAAATAAAAAAATAAATAATCTTTAAAAAAATAAAAAAAATAAGACCACAGTGAACGTCATTGCACCCAGACTCGTCCTTTCAGGAAAGATTTCTCTGCAGCATACGAAGCCGTTTGGAACCACCATCCCCACAGCAGAACTCCTTTCAAAACTGGAGTCAATCCTCTGAAACCCTGCCCCTGCCTTATTAACTAAGTTTATGTGTATTCTAAATCCTTTGTTGTCGTTGCAACAATCTGCACAGCAACTTTACCAGGAACAGATATCATCTCAAGAAACCGCTTTCTTGGGGCGCCTGGGTGGATCAGTCCGTTAAGTGTCTGCCTTCGGCTCAGGTCAGGATCTCAGGGTCCTGGGATCAAGCCCCGCGTCGTTGGGTTCCCTGCTCTGTGGGGCACCTGCTTCTCCCTCTCTCTCTGCCCCTCCCCTGGCTCATGCTTGGTCACTCTCTCAAATAAATAAATAAAATCTTAAAAAAAAAAAAAAGGAACCACTGTCTTTGCTCATCCACAAAAAGCAACTGCTCATCTGTTAAAATTTTATCATGAAATTGCAGCAATTCAAATATAATAAGAATGAAAAAGTTTGAACTAGTCCAAGAAGTACTGAAATGTGACACGGAGACAGCTAGGCAAGGCTTCTGGAAGCATCGTGCCGACAGACCTGCTTGGCGCAGGTTTATCAGAAACCTTCAATTTGTAAAAAAATGCAATTATCTTCAAAGCACCATAAAACAAGGTGAACCC